TACGGATCTAGAGGCCAATCTGTAGCTACTAGAAATTTTGTAGAAGGAAGGGCCAAAGACAGGCAGGGAGAAGAGGAAAGATGGGAAGGAAGGAAGGAGGGAAGGGGCATGGGAGGGAGGGAAGAAATTGAATACATGTTTATCAGGTGGATGGGGTGAGCTCAGCACCAGAGGGCATTTGTCTTTGTAACAGGGTAAAAGATGGACAGAGCCCAGTGTGAGCCAGTCAGAGGGCAGGGTGTGTGAGCCAGTCAGAGGGCAGGGGGTGTGAGTCAGTCAGAGGGCAGGAGGTGTGAGCCAGTCAGAGGGCAGGGGGTGTGAGCCAGTCAGAGGGCAGGGGGTGTGAGCCAGTCAGAGGGCAGGGAGCAGAGCAATAAGAAGCTTGCTCAGACTTTCCAGCTTCTGCAAAACTGCCAGTTAGTCTTTCTCCTGCCTCTTATATTATTGGTTGGTTTTCTCAGAACCAAGTGCGTGTGGTTTGGCTTTACCAACAGAGTTACAACCCAAACACCTGGGCTGTGGCTAGCCTTAAGCTTGCCAGGGGCCCTAAGCCTGCCTATCAGGTTATCTACTCTGCACCAGCAGGAATAGTGCCAAGAGCAAGAAAGGAACTTCACCCTGGACACGTTAGTGCCCTCCCTTCTCACCTCATTCTGATACCCAGGGCTCAGCAGGTCGGCATCAGCACTCTGTCAGAGTGTTGAAGATCCCAACTGTTTAAACTATAGTCTTTGGCACTGAATCATAGTAAGGTTGCTACCCAGACTCTCCAAGGGAACGACTCCTTTGCCTCCCAGCCCCCTGAAAAACCACAGGCCCATTGCTACATCTCAAAGCAGTCCCTCTGCCAGTGTCGTTCATCACCAGAACAGACTAATTTACAAGTGTTTCCGAGCTAACTTGTTTTGTTTACTTCAATGGGTCAAGTCTTCAGAGAGAAACCAGGTATTACATAAGATGTGAAAATGGCTCTTTTGTGGCAGGAAGAGTCCCCCCTCTGGTTCCTCAGGCACAGTTTTCTACCTAGCAAAGTATAAATCATTGGCCTCTAACCCATATGACTTCCTAGAGGGTGTGGACGGCAGAGTTCAGCTCCAAGCACCCACACTGGGAGGTTCACATTAATCTGTAACTCAGCTGCAGAGCATCTGAAGCCTCTGGCCTGCTCAGGTACCTGTACTCACATACTCACATGCAGACATGCACACCTACATACAATTACAAATAATATAAAAGAAATCTTCTTTTGAATATGTACTTGTATACGGGCAAAGTGGTTCAGAGAGCAAACACACTTGCTGGCATAGCAAACAACCCGAGCTTGCTTCTTAGAACCCACATGGTGGAAGGAGAGAATCGACTCCCACGAGTTGTTCTCTGACCTCCACACGTGTAAAACATTTTAAAATATACCCTTTCACCCAAAATTACTGCCTGAGTCTCATGACTTGGAAAATAAACCTTTAAGACATGACTGAAGAAAAGGCCAAACACTTCAGAAAATTATTACATGAAAAACGGCATGGAAACTCTTCACATTACTTCTCCTGGGGAGAGATGAACGAATGTCCATCCAGATAGAACAAAGTAAGGATTCTATCCATGTCCACCTTGGTGAGCTGATGCATTTATGGGGCTTGCTTACAGGAAAATGGATGAGGAGTTACTGGCAGAGCTTGGGTGACCCTAAAACAGCTCTGACACCACCGAGTCCTGCCCACCATGTGTGATGAGCTCACGGAAGCTGCATTATAGAGTCCTTTTCAGTTAAGTCCTACTTCCAATGCTCTGCAGCATCTCCCACAATTCTTTAGAGCTGATGGGAGCAGGTGGGAGTACTGGCTGGAATCCCAGATCTTGTGTCCTGCCCTTCTTTTTACTGGGGAGTGTCAACAGCTCCATAATTGTTACAACAGACTTAGTTGTCACTGTATTGGTCTCCTTCTTTCATGGCCCTGACTACTGGCTAATGTTATCTCTACTCCATGATGGTCAAGGGTATGATAGAAAGAAAAAAAAAATACAAACAGACACTAACTTTTATAGTTTTATATGATTAGCAATTATTCATCCAAGCACCCAAGTTTATGTCAGGCCATTGAAAGTGGCTTAAAAGCAAACCGCCACTTGAGTAATAACAAGTCATGACACAATCAGACATCTGCGTAGCACTTGAGAGTCGGCCAAGCACTTTCACGCCTATCACGTTTGTACCTCCCCCAGCAAGGTCACGCCTATCACGTTTGCACTGCCATGACCTTCCTATGCTCATTTCATAGATTAGTCACCATAACCAAAATGGCCAGAGGAGATTTGTATCCTATTCCGCCGAATAAAACTCTAACTCTCTGTCATTCTCCCCCAAAGACGTCTCCCCAGTGTCTGGCCTTTTTAGAATATGTATTGGAGAATTGTAAATTCAGAGCCAGCTAGTTATCTCAGTGGGTTAGCGTGCTCGCCATGGATCCTGACCACCTGAATTCTGTCCCTGGATCACATGTAAAGGTGGACAGAGAGAGGTGACTCAGAAAAGTCCTGTGACCTCCACACGCACCATGGCACACGTCCCTCAACCCCACATAATACTTTTTTTTTTTGTTTGGCTGTTGCCTTTTTTATTTGTTTGTTTTTGCTTTTCTCAAGACAGGGTTTCTCTGTGTAGCCCTGGATGTCCTGGAACTCGCTTTGTAGACCAGGCTGGCCTCGAACTCACAGAGATCCACCTGCCTCTGCCTCCCGAGTGCTGAGATTAAAGGTATGTGCCACTGTCACCTGACCCAAATATTATTTTTTTTAATTTAAGGAATCACTAAATTTCAGAAATATCATATTTCTGGAACCGTTCATGAACTAATTTTTAATGAGTGAAGCATCATTGTGAAGCTCAAAAGACTAACAGTTTTTCTTGGGCTTTGAAAGCACACAGTGCTGTGTCCTTCCAATAACGTGCTCAGTAGAGGCTGGAAAGATGGCTCAATGGTTAGCAGCACATGCTGTTCTTACAGTGGACCAAAGTGTGGTTCCCAGCACCCAAGTCAGGCAGCTCACAGCCATCTGTAACTTCAGGAGATTCCATGTCACTGGCATCCTCGGACACCTACACTAATATGCACATAGCTGCACACAGACAAATACATGGATACATAATTAAAAATAGTATAAACAAATCTTTTAAAAAACACTAATGTATTCAACAGCCAACCATATTCACTCCAGTTCTCTGGGGGCGAAAATCCTTGGCTCTCCCACAGTCTGCCTCCGTCCTTCAGGAGAGCCCATCATCTAACTACATCTGTCTCCAATATGCCTCAGGGAAGTGACATCAAGTTCTGGGTATATAGCTGTGCGCTGTGAGGTCACAAGTGGTTTTCTAATAAGGGTGTGCAGGAGTCACTGCCCTGTTCTCTTGACACATTTTGGAACCTATCACTTCGTAAACCACCAAGGAGCCACTGAGGGTTTCCTTCTGCAGGCCCAGCAAGGGGAAGACAGGCATGGCCTTGACCTCGAGAGAACAAAGACAGAGATTTTCTGGCAGTTAATTGTCTCCCCTGTTAGGATTGTAATCTTTGGTCACCCCTTGTTTTCGCTCCTAGGTTCCTACCAGGCAAGTGATCAATCAGTTAAGTAAATGTCTGTTAGAAGGAAAGGAGGGGAAGGAGGGAGAAGATGGGGAGGAGGGAAGGAGAAGGAGGGAGAGGAGGTGGAGGAGGGGAAGGGGAGGAGAGAGAGGAGGGGGAGGAGGGAAGGAGAAGGAGGGAGAAGAGGAGGGAGGAGGAGGGGAAGGAGAGGAGAGGGAGGAGGAGGGGGAGGAGGGAAGGAGAAGGAGGGAGAAGAGGAGGGAGGAGGGGAAGGAGAGAAGAGGGAGGAAGGGAAGGAGAGAAGAGGGAGGAGGAGGGAGAGGAGGAGGAGAGGAGAGGGAGGAGGAGGGGAAGAAGAGGAGAGGGAGGAGGAGGGGGAGGAGGGGAAGGAGAGGAGAGGGAGGAGGAGGGGGAGGAGGGGAAGGAGAGGAGAGGGAGGAGGAGGGGAAGGAGAGGAGAGGGAGGAGGAGGGGGAGGAGGGGAAGGAGAGGAGAGGGAAGAGGAGGGGGAGGAGGAGGGGGAGGAGGAGGGGGAGGAGGGGAAGGAGAGGAGAGAGAGGAGGAGGGGAGGAGGGGGGGGGGGAGAAGAGGAGGAGGGAGGCTGGAGAAAAGGAACTGCAAAAAGGAACAGATAGGACTTGCTCTTCTAAGGCTACCTCCAGGGAAGAACGGGTCCCCAGTGACCAGCTTTCAAAGTCAGTCCCTTCATCCTTCTCTTCTGGAAGTCAACACATTAGATCAGAAGCAAATGTCTCCTTCTACATCACAAACAAGGCTATCTACTACTGGCAGGGACAGCCATCACCATGGAGGAGGAAATCTCCCATCTCCGTCTGTGTCTAAACCCCTCCAGGTTCCCTCATGTGACCCAGAAGCCTGTTCAGCCTAGAGACTGCCACCCTGTTGGGGGTAGGGGGCTGTCCAGCTTCCCTGGAGTCTGTTCCTTCTGTCCTTCCTCCTGACACGCTGCTCTGGAACATGAGCCAGGCTCAACTCTCCACTTTCTGCTTTGCGCCAGAAGCCAAGGGATAGATGAGAAACTAATCCTGCTGCCTCCAGGTACCACGTCTTCCAACCCTCGCCAGGTGAGTTATTTTTCCAGTTTCCACTACACACACACACACACACACACACACACACACACACACACACACAGCTTCCTGATATTCTTAGTCTCCTCACACAGCTTGCATGGGGCTTAGGATATTGTGTTCTCTAGCTCCTCAGCTCCCTGATGAATGCCTTCACCTCTGCCCATCCAGTTCTACAGGGCCAGGCCCCTGGGAGGTGTATTCAGAGATGCAATTCTCTGATGTGGTCAGAATTGCTTCCTTCAGTTACCTATGGAAGACTATATACCCAGGTTAGGAACATTCATGACAGGGAATGCCTTAAGAGAGTCACTCCACTTACTTACAGAATGTACCGGTTGGTCTTTGTCAACTTGACACAAACCTAGACGTATCTGGGAAGAAGAACTCTGATTGCGAAAATGCTTCCCCATGATTGGCCGGTAGGCAAGGCTGTAGGGCATTTTCTTGATTGATGACTCTTGTGGGGAGGGCCCAGCTCACTGTTGGTGGTGCCATCCGTGGTCAGGTCAGGCAGTCCTGGATGGTATAAGAAAACAGGCAGGACAAGCCACAGTGGGCAAGCCAGTAAGCAATCCTCCCCCGTGGTTTTTGCTTCAGTTCCTGCCTTGAGTTCCTGCCCTGACTTTCTTAGACGATGGACTGTGCCGTGGGGAAGGGAGTGAAAGACACCCTTCTCTCCCCAAGTTGCTTCCTGTCATGGTGGTTATCACAGCAACAGAAACGTAACTAAGACACAGGATCAGTACTGGTCCCCTGTTTTGCAAAGCAGGGAGAGGAGAGAGAATGTGCGGTGTCACTAAGCAACTTCTACAAACTAGAGCCTGCACAAGATGTCCTGTCACTACAACCTCCTTATTCTCAGAAGCAAACCTATAAAGGCAAGTGTTGGCATAAGATTACCCACCTTCTCCCAGAAGAGAAAACCGAGATACAAAAGAGGTGAGTACTTTAGTGGTGACCACGCTGCTGACCTACAGTGCAGTGGACACTGGGGACAGGGAGCCTGGTTGTTAGTTCAGTTCTTGTAGACTTCCCTCCACTTGCCCAACATCCCACTCAATTTCTTTGTCTTTGCATATTGTATCAGCCTTTCTGGAACATCTAAGAGTATACTTGACAGTGTACTTTTTCTATCACCATTGGATTTATGAAGAACAAATATCTTTCATATTTAAAAAAAAAAGCAAAAATGGCTGACCTGTGAAAATAAAAGATCCCTGATATTCACAGAATCATGGAAATTACAAAAGCAAGCTATTTTGTCAAAGTAAGCAAAAGTCCACCCATGCATAGTAGAAGTCTGGCCCCTCTCAAGATCTGTTTTGCAACTCATTCAGATTAAGGGAAGACTCACAGAGACACTTTAGCTTATGGACTCTATTAGAGGTTACTTACTTACAAGTATGTGTTCTCCACATTTTAAATAATGGAACTCCTGGCATGCAAGACAACATTTTCAGCTTCCCTTTCAGCCTGGATGTGACCCAGCTGTAGCCAATGGGATGTGAGTAAAAGGTTCAATACCACTTTCAAGTCACTGACCCATGGGAAAAATATCCGGTCACCTTTTCACGCTCTTCCTTCTTCGTGCTGACTGCATCTGCAGTGACTGCCTTGGACCCAGCCCAGCTTGCCTCACTTCTGGACTGGCACATAAAAGAATGTGAAACTTCTACCCTCTCTCCATTCAGGTATTTGGGGATTCTTCTGTTTTAATACCTCAGCCTGTGCCCTACCAAATACACAGACTCAGAGCTTTCCAATTGGGAGGACTGATAGTAGGGTGTACACCTAAGCCATGAATTATTTAAGGCTTTTTGTTCAATTCAGAGTTAACTACACAGCAGTTGACTTAATAAACAGTTAATATTTCTGAACATCTGCTCCATTCAAGAGGCTGTACCTGGTACTGAGACATCTTATCCAGCCCTAAACCATGAAGATCAGACACAGAAAAAATGCCACAAACCAGCCGGCACACTGTTAACCCCCACACCGGTGGTCTCCATGGTGATCACTCAGACACACTTCATTCTTGATCTTCATCAGTAACAATGCCCTGGCTCCAGGAACCTTCCAATTTGAGCCAAGATTTGATGTCATTCAAATATGTTCTCCCTTGATCAACTCACTTCCCTTTCACCTTAAATTTTCCAGTTATGAAATGGCCCTGATGGACCCATTAACATCTTCGGCCCTTTAAGACTTGGGCTCCCTGACAATTCCAACAGACATCCCTGTCTCTAGTCATGGAATTTATGGAAGAGGGCTAAGCCACCCTCATGAAACAAAGCTAAAAAGCCCAAACACACTAAGGAAGTGCATTGATAAATATAGATTGATTCTAATTATATGGCATTGGTAAGAGAGTCTAGAATTGGTTCTTCAAATTAGTCAATTGGTTCATTGTTTGCTAAAGTGGAGCATAAAAATCTGTCTACAATAGGGGCCAACATTAAGGAAAACACACCGGTGAAATGGAGTTCCACCTATCATTTTGGATTAATTACATCTCCAAGCAAGTTAAGTTTCAAGACAGGGGAAATCCCCAAGCGTATGTAGATTGAAGTAGTCTCAATAGCAGGGACCACATATAATAGAGAGTGTAGTGGGTAGCCATTCCAGCTTTGATCTGGAAGTTCCAACCCCCATTGAGACTTCGGCAACTGTCACGCCTACAAGACGGGCCAAGGGAGGCGCCTGGAGACCTGAGATCTGGATGGGCTGTGCTCTCACTTGGTTCCAGGACCCTGGACGGTGGAGGTGGGCCAAGCAGAACTCCAGAGAACACCGTTGGACTGCGATACACCTTCCCCAGACCCCGCGACCTACCTATCCCTTCATTTGTAAGTTACGCCATTAAATAAATCTCCTTTTAACTACGTGGAGTGGCCTTAATAATTACACCAATATCTGGCACCCAACGTGGGGCAAATTCCAAAGCTGGAATGGCTACCCACTACAAGAGGGAGAGACCATGTCTCTACGTTTAAATTACTGCTTGAGTGCTCACTACCAGTCTAGCTTAGAGACTGATTGTTGTTTGTGTGTTTGATGAGGTAACTCAAGCTGGCTTCAAACTCTTTAGGTAGCTGGAGCTGGTCTTGAACTGCTGACCCTCTGGCCTCCTCCTCTCAAGTGTTGGGATTATGGGCATGTGCCCCTATGCTCAGCAAAGATTTTCGTGTGTAAAACAGGAACATGGTGCAGGATGTTTCCAAGTCCTTGATAAAGGGCAGTGCCTAGCACACTACTTACCCCAGAGTGACAAATTATTAACTGTTGACTCACACAGAAACAAAATGCTGCCATTTGTTCTAGAACAAAAATAAGAACCTAGGGCTAGCAATGCAGCTCAGTTAACAGAGCGCTTCCCTAGCATGCATGAAGCCCTGGGCTCCATCCCCAGCCACACATAAACCTAGGGCAGTAGTGTCCACCTGTAAGTCCAGCATCTGGGGAGTAGATGCAGAGAACGGGAAGTCCAAGGTCATCCTTGGCTGCATCCACTGCCTACATGAGCTATTGTGCCAAGAAAGAAATGGGGAGAGGAAAGAAGGAAAGGGGAGGGAGATGGAGAAAGAGAAATAGGGCAGAGAGTGGTACTTCCAGCTCAGAACCCCCCTTCCCTTCAGGGCAGATTTCAGAAATCAGCAAAGACACAACATGAAGTGAAGGGCATGTGTGGGAATGTTCTGAAACTAGGGATCCACAAGGATGTCAAGTCAGGAAAGAAAAATAATAGTTCACTATGCTCTCCGGTGAGCAGGACAATGGAGAGGATGCATCTTCACAGAGCCTCAGTGGATACATAAAGATCAGTCTCAGTCTAAGATGGGGAGTGATTCTCTGTGGTCAGGGTCAAGGAGACCTGTGAGGAAAATCTGTGAAGGATAGATAACTAGAGAGTATTGCAGAACAGGGGTAAATTGCATTAAAATTAGTGTGTGATTTATATATACCTATAATCTGCCAAATAGCTATAGGCTTGGCCAGGATATTTCCATATGTTGTGGTAAATCATTTGGGAGGCCAACTGAGCATTTGTGGCATTTCAGAGATGCCAGCTTTGGCTAGGAGGCTGGCGGCTGCTAGGGGCAGTAACCTGCCTTGTGTGAAGAGAGGAATGGTGTCTAGCTCCAAGGGAGCAGATGGTAAGACCATGGGGCCTCCACATCTCCTCCCGTCTCCAGAGATGATGTTCTGGTATACCTGTGCTTGCAAATGGACCAGACTGTTCCCTCTGCCCACGCAGCCAGCCTGGGTTGTCCCTTGGCTTTTTGCTAACACGGAGAGGGACTGGTGCATCTAATTTTCACCAGTTCCCCGTTACAAAGCAGTTTAGTCACAGAGGAAGCATCCACCTCATCCCACAAAAGAACAAAGAATCCAAAGAGCTCCTGAGAAATAGAAAAGAGGGAAAACATGCCTTCCCCAAGTCCCTAACCTCCAGGCCATGGCTGGGTGCATAATAAGACAGGTTCTGTGATGCTTTCTCTCAAAAATCTTTTCTGTGAGGAAACGAGAGAGCCTTTCCAGAACCTATCCCCAGAGGACAAGGCAGCGCAGGAAACTCAGAACAGAAAAGTACGGTAAATGGTTCTCTTCTGGGTGCCCACCATCCTCCTGACATTCTCCAAGAGTCCCTATCATTGCTCAGCCATCCCTAAGTTCTCTCCTGTGTGAGAGAAGCAAAAAAGGATGACAGCATTGTCCCAGCACCCCGAAAACAAACCCAAGGAGAGCTGCAATGGCACCCACCCTGGTGACCAGATGGCTCCTCCTCAGTCTGCACTTCCTCGGGTGTCTGTACAAGCTCAGAAGCACCGGCAGGGAAAACACCTCATGGTTGGCAAGTCACCAGCCTGGGCCTCATCCTGGCCATCTGACCGTGTGTCCTGGTTTCCCTGGACACCTAAAAAAAGCTCAGCTCAAGGCTGGCCATTTTCCCTCTAATCCCCAGCTTTCACCACCAGGACAGCGTGAAATCTGAAAACCTGCAGTCAGCACAAGACAAACCAGAAGGGGAGAAGCCAGCACAAGATGTCTCCCCAGCAAGCCGCCTGGGGAGCCGGCCTCGCCTTTCCCATGTGCTCGAGGTGTGGTGTCCAAAGTAAACCTTTTGAACTGGTTTTTTGGAACCTCCAAAAAGACCCTGCACATCAAAGGGGATCCGATCCCCCGCGCTGCGCATGGCAGGCATTGTTAAGCATTTTGCATGAATCAGCCACCTTCTGAAAAAGAAAGGAAACGCAAAGCACATGGCCAGCCGTGGCCACAGCCGCGGCCCCAAGCACATGCGCAACACATGGCCTTGCCTGGCTCGGTAGATTCAAAGGGCCGCAGCCACAAGAACCTTTCTCTCTACTCCCACAGGCCAGGATACAATGGGGCCAGTTGTTGGAGATATCACACACCCCTCCTATAGACCCACCTCTTAGGAGTCTGTGCAAACTCTGATTCCAGTCACAAGGGGATCCTGCTGGGCCACCTAAAAAAAAAAAAAAAAAAAAAGGAAGAAAGAAAGTTAGGTAGATGCAGTCTGTGTTGAACAGAGAGGCCTGTGTGAGTCGTTGGCACTGGGCCCAGAAAGCCACACTCCTAAGCAAGCTTCTGCAATGATGGCTTCTGCAGGGGACTCCAGATCCTGAAAAGCCTAGTGGGGAGATTCCATGCCTTCAGACTTTCATCATCTACCTTCCTGGGTTGGTTTGGTTCCCTGCAGGTGGCTGTAGTGAGGGACAGAGCCTACCCTACCCCCTCAGAGGTCACTGATGTCCCCCATAGAGCCTAGATATTAAGGAGATTGTCTCCTCGAGGCCAACCTGGGAAGGAAGGCATCTCCAGGCCCTGACTAGACATCCATCCACTCTGCCGGCCGGCTGGTGAGAAGGGCAGGCAGCAATCATTCGAGGGCAGAGAGGAGGAACCTGAGTCACTTTTCTCTTCTCACTAACAACTCCCCACAGGAGAAAAAGATCCGGCCCTGAGATTTTACTGGAGATAAATGGAACCGTTTGAAAGGGAGATGCTTTTTAAAAAGCCATCCTCTCTGATGAGCAAAGTTCTAGGTTCAGGAAAAGAAAAAGGTTTAAAAGCTGTGAATACAACTCAATTGGTAAGTTTTAATTAGCAGTTCAAAACTGCCCACATTCTGGGTTTCTAATTAATAGGCACGATTTCCGTTGAGTTCTACTTCAGTGAGAGCTATATAAAACCAGTGAGTGGGTGACATCATTCCATTCAAAAAAGAACAAGAAGAAAAGAGAGGAATGCTGAGTTAGGAACAGAAAAAGCAAATGAACCGTTTCTCTTCTACACTTGTATAAATAAACATTGCTACCCACACCTCTTCCTGGGGTTTGTCAGTCTAAGACCAATCAACGCCCTGTGTCAATTTAACACCTCAACTCCCTGAACCATGGGCCAGATAGTGTTTGTCCCAGTCAGACCATCCACAAATACTGGGGGGATCAAGAAAAGAAAGTGTTAGGGTTGGGGGCATAGCGTCCATGTTCAGCATTTGCAAAGCCCTGGGTTCCACCCCCAAGTATATACATAAGAGGGACATTGGACAGACACACCAGAGACAAAATCCTGAAGAATATTGTGTGGTATACATGATTTATTTATCCCTAGTCCTGAAAATGACGAGAAGGCTTCAAAGGGTGTCTTAGTTAGGGTTTCTATTGCTGTGAAGAGGCACCATGTCCACAGCAACTCTTATACAGCAAACATTTCATTGAGGTGGCTTACAGTTTCAGAGGCTCAGTCCATTATCATTAGGGCAGAGAGCATGGTGGTATGCAGACAGACATGGTGCTGGCTACATCTTGAGAAAAGACAACAGCAAGTGAACTGTGACACTGTGAGTAGCTTGAGCGTAGGAGACCTCAACGCCCAGCCCCACAGTGACACACTTCCTCAAACAAGGTGATATCTACTCAACAAAGCCACCGCTCCTGATAGTGCCGCTCCTCATGAGCTCATGGGGGCCCATTACATTCAACCCACCACAAAGGGCTTCAATCAAAAAGAGACCTGAAAAAGAGAAAGAGAAAGAGATCCAGATTTGGGGGAAGAAGGCATCTCTGGAAGCTTTATGAGTAGAGGACACAAGAGTAGCATGGTAATGGCTTAGAGGGCGCATAACTCCAGCCTGTGGGAGGCAGGCTGTTCTCCCTGGAGATGCAGGAACTTACCAGATGTGGACGGTGAGCAAAGAAGGCCTAGCAGATGTTGATTCTTGAAGGAGTGACACATGGTTTTGCATTGTCAGATGGAGCCACACCCAGTGTGTGTCCTAGTGTTCTAGACCTCAGGCAGAGCTGCCCAGACTGCTCTGGGTTTGCCACAGTCTCATGTGTAGACACATGCATGCACATCCTCATTGCATGCACACATTTATATCCCCCCCATCCCCACCCTGCAACCTTAGGACCCTCTTAGCAGAACACTTCCATGCTGGACAAAAATCTGATGCTGAAGATGCCACAGAAAGCAGCTCATGATTAGAAGGCGGTGGTGACATTGTTGAGGTAAGCCCATGATAGAGCAGACTCTGAGAACATATCCAGATAGGGAGAAACACTCAAGCCTCATTTCTCATCTATGCCCCATAGAGCTTAGGAGGAAACTGCTAAGGTTCCTCTCAGGAACCTCCAGGGAGCCCCTTAAAGAAGAAAAGACATTTAAAAGGAAATCTTCTAGAACACGCCATGAGAGCCTTAGCACTTGCCCAGTTGCCTGATCGAAACCATCAACCATCTTCCAACACCCAGTGGTGGTCCCACCAGATGTTTATCTGTGAATTATGAACAAGAAGACATCCTGGAACATCAATAGAGACTTATCTTGCTCTCTCCTTCCTGCCAGATAGTTTTCTTACGGCTCTGGCTCCCCAAGAAGCCAAGCCATCCTCACCTTACTAAGCCATCATTGCAGTCAATCTTGCCTGGATCCAGTGGATCCATTTCTATCTGGTATACATTGGAATTTCCAGGTTAAGAATAGATCTCCCCAACCCAAGGTTCTATGGTTAACTTAAACAAAGGAACCTTCGTGATCAACTTGATTCCCTACCCAACCCGCCTGGGAATGAAGTCTATCATGCAGTCTCATTTTACCACTTGGCTAGAGCCCAGGTTGAATAAACAATTTCCATGAAACAATACAGCAAATTGCCTGTAAGACCTCAACCTTAAGGTAAGTGTTTCCAGTCAGGATGGTGAGGAATTCCTGCCACTGAAAGAAATAAGTTCCAGCCATCCCCATGAAGAGGGTACCTTGCCAACTAATAAGCTTCTTCTAGTTGGAAACAGTATGGCTTCCAGGCCAGCCTAGGGTGGGAAAAGGTAAGGGATTCACAAGCTCCTTATTCCAATAAGAGCCTGTACTTTAAGCACAGCCATGAGCTGCAGAATGATCTTGGTCAATGGGAAAAAGCATCTGTGTTGATAGTCCCATAGATTCTGTCACCCAGCAACATCTTAGTTTGTGTGAGTATACTCTGTGATGCTAACACCATATAACCTGACAATGTGTTTCTCAGAAAGTTCTCACCATCCCTCAGTGCATCACTGCATGGTTGATCCTCCTTACCTGAGGCAGTTCTGCTTGGTAAAGCCACCAACGTCATAAAATTAGCAGGTACCAAATCATCAGTCCTAGAGACAATGCAGGGCTGGGTTTCAGGGAGCATCTAATTATAACATTTTTGTTAATCAATACAAAATCTTGGTTTATGTTTTAAAGGTAGCTTTATTTAAGAAGCAGTGTGTGTTCAACAACTTTGTACTCCCTGCTAATACCTCTGAAGCTCTTGCTTGAAGGAAGCATGAACACAACGACTCCCTCTTCTAGACACACTGCAGCCTTCTTGTGCCCAGCAGCCCATGACAGCATGTCGGCCATGTGACTGGAGCATTTTAAAAAGCAAAACTGCCCAACAAAAGCGTGCGTGCACACGCGTGCGCGCGCGCGCACACACACACACACACACACACACACACACACACACAGAGTAAAGAAAAAGGACATGGCACTAAATAAATGACAAAGAGAACTCCTGTTTGCAGGAGGAGAGCTGAAAGTGTCACTTTGTTCCACTTTAGCTGAGAACATGCTCGTCCAATAGCTCACATTGTACTGAGCTCTGTGCGTGTCCACACATGAACGTGGAGGCACTAAAAGTACTGATCCATGGGCTGTAAATAAAAATTAGGAAGCAGCAAATTCATAAATATACAGTCTGCAAATGATAGGTGTGGAGGTAGGCTGAGCTGTAATTCTCTCCTGTAACACAGCAATTCTGTAAACAATCAGACCAAACTGAGTGTGGTGGTTTGTCCCTGTCACCCCAGACCTCCGGAAGAGGCAGCAAGAGAATCAGCATTTGAAAGTCATCCTTAGCTACATGAGTTTGAGGCTAGCCTGGGCTATGTGAGAGCCTGTCGAAAAAGAAGGAAGGAAGGAAGGAAGGAAGGAAGGGAGGGAGGGAGGGAGGGAGGGAGGAGCTGAAGAGATGGATCAGTGGTTGAGTACTGACTGTTCTTCTAGAGGACCTGGGTTCAATCCTAAGCACCCATATGGCAATTTACAACTGTCTGTAACTCCAGTTGCTGGGGATTGGACACCATTACATATACATGCAACAAAACACCAACGCACACAGAATAAAAATAAACAAATTGTTAGAAAAAAAAAAAGAAAAGAAGCCAAACTAGATGCTCAAATATTTTGTCACTTATTAAGTCAGAGTGTCTTTGATGTCCCTGCCACTACTTTCATTTGTTGAGATGTTAGTCGTGTGTGTGTGTGTGGGTGGGTGTGTGGGTGTGTGGGTGGGTGGGTGTGTGTGTGTGTGGGTGTGTGTGTGTGGGTGTGTGGGTGTGTGTGTGGGTGTGTGGGTGTGTGGGTGGGTGTGTGGGTGGGTGGGTGGGTGGGTGGGTGGGTGTGTGGGTGGGTGGGTGGGTGTGTGGGTGTGTGGGTGGGTGGGTGTGTGTGTGTGTGTGGGTGGGTGTGTGGGTGGGTGGGTGTGTGTGTGGGTGGGTGTGTGGGTGGGTGGGTGGGTGTGTGGGTGGGTGGGTGTGTGTGTGGGTGGGTGTGTGGGTGGGTGTGTGGGTGGGTGTGTGGGTGGGTGTGTGGGTGTGTGGGTGTGTGGGTGGGTGGGTGGGTGGGTGGGTGTGTGGGTGTGTGGGTGTGTGGGTGGGTGGGTGTGTGGGTGGGTGTGTGTGTGGGTGTGTGTGTGGGTGTGTGGGTGTGTGGGTGGGTGTGTGGGTGTGTGGGTGTGTGGGTGGGTGGGTGGGTGGGTGTGTGGGTGGGTGGGTGTGTGGGTGTGCTCGCACATAGGCACACAGGCTGGGTTGGAGGGCAACCTAGTGAGCTCAGTCCTCCTCTTCCGCCTGCACATGGTTCTGGAGATCAAGCTCAGGTTGCCAGGTTGTGCAGTGGGCGCCTTTGCCCACTGAGCCTCCACCAGCCTGAGGTGTTAGCATATTTAAAGGCTAAAATTAAACAGGAAATTGCCCACCAAGGTGGTTAAAACTGCAGAATACTCTGTTTACAGTTGACACCGTACGGCTCTTAACTAGGACATGAGTAAACGCAGCACCGTGGGTGTCGCCGGAAGGCGATGACAGGCAGTGTTCCGGTGAAGGCACAGAGCCTTGAGTTCTATGACGACAATCGTTTTCCAGGCTTTCCATGGAAACGGGCAGAGGTGATGGAGAGAGCCCTCTTTTAGTTTTATTTCTTTTAATTTACATTGAAACGCATATATGGGCGTGGCCAAGCGGAGCTCTAAAGCCACCCACTTCCTCAAGACCTACCCTGTAGTTCTCTAGGGTGCAGCCTGAAAGAGTTTGTCTTAGGAAATGAGTCTGGGAACACTTGTGGACAGACTTGACATTTGCTTCTGCTGATTCTCTTTGGCAAGGCCTGACTTTCTCTTCTCTGGTTTTCTCCCATGTCCCTAATCTCCCTTACTCATTT